GGATCTATGAGAGAGAGAACTTCGGTGGCCATATGCATGAATGTATGGACGACTGTGACTCTTTCATGGATCGTTACCACATGTCTGACTGCATGTCCTGCCATGTGATGGATGGTCACTGGCTAATGTACGAGCACCCCCACTACAGAGGCAGGATGATGTACATGTGGCCTGGACAGTACAGGAGCTTCAGGGAGATGGGATATGGAGGCATGAGGTTCATGAGCATGAGGAGGATCATGGATTCCTGGTATTAAATATGCTATGTTTAATGCCGATGAATAAATGTATTATGAAATTCTGATCATTTTGTCATGATTGTTTATTAACACCTGGTCTAAAATATGAATCAACATATGAAACATCAGTGAAATGTAATGCAGATTTATTGCCTAGATTCATATTGAATTGAACTGGGTCCTCTGTACCCATTCCTCTGCACTGTTTTACAACCATTTGAGAGGAGTGCTATGGAGATAATTCTTATGCAGATGAGTGCAGTCAGGGACTTTGGACAATTGTTCACAGTCCTTTCATAATTTAGTGTGGCATTCTCTATACGACAGAGATTGGAGCTTTGTGAAGGAAGTCATGGATTCATGACTTTGTTGTCATCAACCCACTTTATAACTCCTTTGGCTGAATGGTGTCATTGTTAGTATAGTCGTTTTGGAAAACTAATCAGCATCTGAGCTATTACTTCCAGGCTGGTGTCCTTAGATTTGCTTCAGTATTTAGACATACAGGTTTTTCTCATATTTTATGACTGCAGTCAAACAACCCCAACACACAATCCTGGCACCTTATGCTTCACAGTTAGGATGGTACAAAGTTCAAAGGTTAAATTCATTCAAAAGTTATAAGCCAAATAAATTCCCCATCCCTTTTAGGCCTTAAGAGTGAAATGCTGCCATCATGTGCAAAACTCTCCCCTCGCTTTGTGGGATTTTTCTGCCATAATCCAAGAGCAAAATTTTCAGTCGGAAAAGGAGATTTCATGTGTTTCGTTTTCAAAACTATAAATATTATTGCTTACATTTTGATTATGAAAGCAGGACTTTATGTCTTTCTTTTCAAAACTTGTAATGCTTGTACTCATAACTTCTCCTTGCGCTCACACTTAGTATCTGATATTTTGAACCAAAGTATGTTCACCTCTGGACACAAAATTCGTATCCTTCCTGTGGCAGCACATTCCCATCATGTCTTTACTTCCTAATGTTTAAACAAAAGATTTGGTACCTCCATTGATCTGGATATTATTTGCATGGCCAAGGTTGAACCAGACTTGTGCAGCTACACAAGACTCTTCCTGATGTCCTGGCCCATTTATTTTGACTTTCCCATGATGTCAAACAAGACAGAAGTCTGGTCAGGTCTGACCTTAACATACATCCACAAATGTTTTAGCAATTAACTCAACTGTGTTAGTTGGTCTGTCATAGTTTTTCTAAAGCCAGAACATCACCATTTAGGCTTTTCCTATTTCTTAAAGACACAATGTGACAAGAATTGTAGTGGAGGTGGTTGAGACAGAATGCAGCAGACTCAGGTATTAGAAAATAAGTGGTGTTTAATGGAACAAAATCTGTCCAAGAAAACTCCAACAACCAGTCTGAGCAGAATCCAGGGCTCAACGCCGATAGCAACTGGACGGTACGAATGTACAACAGCAACACATACTGACGCTCACAAGACAACGAGGACCCAAGGAGGAACAAAGGACAAAGGTGGGATTAAATACACAGAGGGTAGTCATGGAGTGGAGACACACCTTGGAGGAATCAAGGGGAGACGGGACAACTCGGAGACTCAGCGACACTGAAAACTGAGAATAAACAGAGAAAAACACAGAACATGACACAATGTACATTCTGCATGTAAACATCTGAATTCAAAGCAAGTTACAAAAATTTCTAAGAAAATTTTCTCATTAAATTTTCTAACATTTAGAAAATAGAAAAAAATATATAATTTCTTATTGACCTAGACCAAGAACATTATGGCCTGATTTAACAGACTGTCTTTTTATTCAGTGCAAACAAATATCTTGTTTCAATTGAAAGTTTCACCCCAAACCAAAATTAATATTTTTCTCAAAACACGGTACACTCACAGTACTGTTATTACCGCAGAAAAATAGATTGTTCCAAATTTGTTCATACTGAGAATCTTGAGCAGAGAAATAAATTTTCACTTAGTAAACCCACCAAAAACAAAACATCATTATAGTTTAGGTAACCACTGTTGAAATAATGTTTGATTCAAGTCATACACTAAATCTTAACAGTCATATGGCTAAGTCTATTGTAACAAACACTGTTCAAAATGCTGCTTGTAAAATCTGAAAGACCTTTCTAAAGACTGAAGACAAAGAAAAAAAACAGAGCGTAACCTCTGCATTCTATGTTGCTCTATAGTAACTTGCTTAGTTAGGACTTCTGTGAAGGGAAGGTCAGTTGTTCTTTACGTTCGCTCAGGTATAAAAGGAAAGCGTTAAACCAGGTAGGAAGGCAGAACAGCAGCAAGAGCAACCACTCATCTGCAGCCAACATGACCACCACTGAGACGAGCAAAACTGACATGTACATGAGGGGCAAGGTAAAGCAATGTTTAGGGATTGAAAAATACTTATTTTGTCACCTAGCAATTGATTTCAAAAGATGGTTTTCTCTTTTCCAGATCATTTTCTATGAGGAAAGGAACTTTATGGGTCGCCACTATGAGTGCATGGGCGACTGTGCTGACATGTACTCTTACATGAGCAGGTGTCACTCCTGCAGGGTGGAGAGCGGCTGCTTCATGGTCTATGATCGCCCCAACTACATGGGAAACCAGTATTTCTTCAGGAGAGGAGAGTACGGTGACTACATGAGCATGATGGGATGGAATGACTGCATCAGGTCTTGTCGTATGATCCCCATGGTGGGTTGGTGAATCTTTTTGCTAATCTGAACTAACACCTGCATATTCATTCCTTTTACATTTATTTGTTTCTTCCTTTTACAGTACAGGGGATCCTACAGGATGAGGATCTATGAGAGAGAGAACTTCGGTGGCCATATGCATGAATGTATGGACGACTGTGACTCTTTCATGGATCGTTACCACATGTCTGACTGCATGTCCTGCCATGTGATGGATGGTCACTGGCTAATGTACGAGCACCCCCACTACAGAGGCAGGATGATGTACATGTGGCCTGGACAGTACAGGCTTCAGGGAGATGGGATATGGAGGCATGAGGTTCATGAGCATGAGGAGGATCATGGATTCCTGGTATTAAATATGCTATGTTTAATGCCGATGAATAAAAGTATTATGAACTGAGATCTTTGTCATGATGTTTTACTATTTATAAGGCTATGACGCCTGGTCAAAGATATACATAAACATATGAAGCATCATTTTTTTGAAATGTAATAAAACTGGTCAGTTAAAGACTTATTTCTAAGAAAAATTTTAAAGTCATGGCATGTTTGCAAGTGATGGTGTGAACATAAAGACACTTCGACAAATTTAGGGCATCATGTACAATATTGTTGGCAGTGCTCTTTTTTCTTGTAGTGAAGAACAACCTGAGACTAGAAGTAATGTTTATAAGTTACCATTGAATCCTGAAATATGACTTAAACCAAAATACAAAATAAGGGATACATGTGGCTGAAGGGAACATTCTCTATCAGGAGTCTTGGCTGAACCAAAAAGCTGAGAATAGACTTCACAAGCCTCTGCATCGCAACAACTGAGTTAAGGACACAATTGGGCATACTCAGAAGAAGCTGGACGGTCTGCATTCCACTTCTGGATTTGGGACATTATGGAATCCAGAGAATGAACTGAAGATGGATGCTGAAGACAGGGATGTCTGGATGTCCCTCCCAGTCCCATACTCACAACCTGGACTTGGATAAGAGGAAAGCAATAGATATATGGATAAGTGAAATGTGATGCCAAATTCGAGTCACATTTTGGCCAATGAATGTAGTTGGTCTATGATTATTTTTACCTGCTTGGTACTGAATTTAATGCATATTGTTGGGGGTTGCGCTTGGAAAACTACCATAAAGATCCTCCTTTGAATAAGTCGACGCGTCAATGTTTTGGCGTGACAATCACAAAGTCCTTATCTCAATCCTACAGATCAGTGGTTCCTGGTCCTGTGGTCCAGCATGTTTTTGGTTTCCCCATTCTAGCACAGCTGATTCAATTGATTGCATTACCTTCTTTGCATGCCTCTAGTTGTCCCAGAAGTCTCTTAATCTTTATTCAGGCCAAGTGTCCAGCAGTAGGGAAATAAATAATACAATCAGGACAGTGGACCCTGAGGACCATGATGTGGGATCTCTGCTTTATGGCAGATCTGAAATGTATGTAAACATGTAAAGTGGATGGTCACTTTGAGGACATTGATAAATATCTGATAAAGTCTCACTTTCAACAGTGTGGCATTAGAAAAACTAAATTTTAGTAATTCAAACTGGCCTAACATAAAAGGTTTGGCCTCATTTAACATCTGACAGTGAGGAAAACAGATGTGTATGAAAACTTCTGGTTTCAGGACATGTTTGTTGTGGTTTTTTGATATATTTTAAACCAAATTCTAAAACATGTCTCCTTGATCATACGATGTCAGGCCTCATTGCTCTTTATAAATCTCTGTTGTGTTTTTATTGGATTCTTTCTGACCACGGTGACATCCTCAATACTGAAATCACTGACGGTTGATTTTGGAATCAAAAGACTTTTACATATTTTCTCTGAACAGCCTTCAATCCAACTGGGAGGCCAAACTTAGGATTTCAAAAAGGGGCTTTGTTTTAGCTTGACAAAGGATTTATATTTGAAGTCTTCGAGGGCCCAGGCATGTGATTACAGTACAGGACCACAGTCCAGTAAATGGCTCTATACCATGCTGCTGGGTCAGGGATTTAAACAATAGGGCCCCACTGACCCTGTAGTGTATGGTCAGGTATAAAAACGAGGGTTAAACTGAACAGAACTGTAGTGCAGCAGAAGCAGAACCAACATCACCATCTCACCAAGAAATATGTCCACCACTGACATGAGCATGGGCAAAGTAAGCTTCACAATAACCCTAAGTATTTATTAAGTCATAGATGGTTTTAAAAAAGGTGTTTTTTTTCAGCTTGTAACAATTATGCCTCGTTTCTCAGATCATTTTCTACGAGGATAGAAACTTCCAGGGTCGCTCCTATGAGTGCATGAGCGACTGTGCTGACATGTCCTCCCACCTGAGCAGGTGTCACTCCTGCAGGGTGGAGAGCGGCTGCTTCATGGTCTACGATCACACAAACTACATGGGAAACCAGTACTTCATGAGGAGGGGCGAGTACGCTGACTACATGAGCATGATGGGCTGGAGTGGTGGAATCAGGTCTTGCCGTATGATCCCCATGGTGAGTTGTAAGAGAATGTTTTGATGAAATGATGAGGCTTGTCAAGTCATAAAACGCTGCATCTATTAATTATGTCATAATGTCTCCAAGCAGTACAGGGGATCCTACAGGATGAAGATCTATGAGAGGGAGAACTTCGGTGGTCAGATGTATGAGCTGATGGACGACTGTGACTCCATCATGGATCGCTACCGCATGTCTGACTGCATGTCCTGCCATGTAATGGATGGTCACTGGCTGATGTACGAGCACCCCCACTACAGAGGCAGGATGATGTACATGAGGCCTGGAGAGTATAGGAGCTTCAGGGAGATGGGATATGGAGGCATGAGGTTCATGAGCATGAGGAGGATCATGGACATGTGCTAGAAATGTTTATTTTCAAAAAATTATGTAAAATAAAGACAGAACAAAAATCTAAACTGTGGGTTTGTCCTCAAGTAAATGAAAGAATCTCGCAAACTGTAGGAGTTTGTGAGATTATTTATTTTTTATAATTGTTAAACATGGTGGCAGGAATATAATAGTCACATGTTTTAAATAACCACTGTAGAAACAACATGTTTCATGGAAGTCACACACAGGAGAGGGAACTGTGAACAGTTGCCAAAATCCTTGACGATGAAGAATCACAGTGAGTCCAAGCCAGTGTACCACCTCACCCGACACCAAGTCCAAACCAAGACCCTACCAGTGTATCAAGAATATGACAAGACTAAGACTTTTAGGGTCAGAGACCAAAACCAGCGCCCCGGGCTACACAACACAAAAAAAAAAGTAAAATATGATAAAACTGCTTCTCAAATTGATCTGAAAGATCCACATTCTCCTTAAAACACCTAGAAATGAAATGCTTAAAGCTGAAATAAATTATAATTAAGCATAATAATTATTATTACAATGAATAATAATTAAATAATCTAAAACAGAGATATGAAATGCTTAGAGCTGAAATAAATTATAATTATCAAATCAAACTCTTCTTTGTTCTGCTTTGCTTCCATCTCTGTGTCACAATCTGCAGAGGTCTCACATCGCCCCTAACAAGATAACGCCCTGGGTGGTTGCTCATATTGCCTATGTCAGAAACCACCACTATCTGCACCATTAAACATAGCAATCATGACAATGCACTCACGGTAAACAGTCAACAATGAAAACAAGACAACCAACAACCTGTTCTGCTCTCTCCCTGCATGAAGCCAGGTAGCAGATGACAGCTGACGGACATAATCAAAGAGCAGTGAGCATGAGCATTGTTATGTTAAGCTCTTGTATTTTGTTTATTTAATGATCAAAAAATATATATTTCAAATAAAATAATAATACCTACTGCAGAGCATTGGAAAAACACAGAGCGGTCCCCAGTGAGCCTCCAGTCCTATCGTTCAGAGTGAAGAGCCGTTCAGAAGAATCGGTTCGTAAGTGAATATCTCGTCACTATACTGCAAACTTTGGTCACAGCGTTGTCACACATCTGCAACGCGCCAGTCAACATCTCCGCACAATAAGCTTGGCTTTTAATCGTCATGTTTTGTATCCAGTGAAAACAAGGATGTTGACAAATAGAATGGACAATATGCTGACAATTTAATAATATTTCCACAGCTGTGGTTGGAGTGGAAAATGTTATGGTTACTATGATTATCAGTTGAATCAATGCATAAAAGTATTGTGATTCTTGTGTGATGCATGAGCTCATGAAAAAGGCTCATGAAGCAGGTTCTCTGGCCTTGCCAACACAAAATACTCTGTAACCAAATAGATTATCAAACTATGTGACTGGAATGAAACCCTCCCTATAAAACTCTAAGCTGTGTTCTGCGTGAGGCTCTTCCTCCTGACTGCGATTAGTGAGCAGAGTCTTTATTATAGTAAACTGAAGTCACTGATGCCTCCTGTTTTAGCAAGCAAGGCATACTTACAGGATGTGGAACATTTTTAAGAAAAAGCATAAATATGTCTGGTTCAATGTTTCTCATGTAATATATTATACATAATATTTTAAAGATTTAAATAAAGATGCTTCTGCAGAAAACACACTATCATTCAGTAGCAAGTACAATACAAAATGGGGCCTCAACTAACAAATGCAACTGCCACAAATCACAATCGATTAAAAGGTCTCTTTGAACTGAACAGGGCACGGGCTGCAGGGGTGAGGGGCTGGGGTGGCTGCTGCTCCATATTGCTCTGTCAGGAATTTGAACAAAGGGGTCATATATCCTTTTGGATGCAAGGTCAGGTATAAAAGCAGTTGGAGGACATGGATAAAACTGTGGCAGTCCTTTGGATCCAAAACAGTTGCCAGTGCAGCCATGACCATGGGCAAGGTGCTCTCTTCACAGCTGCATTTAATCTTTAGTTTGTTCATATGCTGAAAGTAAATGTGGATTAGAGTGCTGCGCTGTGATGCCATAAAGACTCTTCTTTGTTTTCTCAGATCATCTTCTACGAGGAAAGAAATTTCCAGGGTCGCTCCTATGAGACCAGCAGCGACTGTGCCGACATGTCCTCCCACCTGAGCAGGTGTCACTCCTGCAGGGTGGAGAGTGGCTGCTTCATGGTCTACGACCGCACAAACTTCCTGGGAAACCAGTATTTTGTGAGGAGGGGAGAGTACTCTGACTATCAACGCATGGGCATGAGTGACTGCATTAGGTCTTGCCGCATGATCCCCATGGTATGGAATTTGAAATACACAAGAAAACATTTGAAGTGATGAGATAATTGAAAATATCCCCATGTATTTGTATTTATTTTTAATTTACAGCATAGAGGCCAGTTCAGGATCAGAATTTATGAGAGGGAAGACTTCGGTGGTCAGATGCATGAGTGCATGGAGGACTGTGACTCCATCATGGATCGCTATCGCATGTCTGACTGCATGTCCTGCCATGTGATGGATGGTCACTGGCTGATGTACGAGCACCCCCACTACAGAGGCAGGATGATGTACCTCAGACCTGGAGAGTACAGGAGCTTCAGGGAGATGGGATATGGAGGCATGAGGTTCATGAGCATGAGGAGAATCATGGATTCCTGCTAGTAGACCCTCACTGTTAAAACACAAGCTGTCAAATAAAGCATAGAAGTTCTCTTTAAATGTAGTTTTTTTTCTCCCATTGAAACTCATAAGATTCTTTCATCCAATTGCAATTTTTTATTTCACCATTCCAAAAACTGCTGTATTTGCTCAGAAATACCAAAGTATAGTTATTTTGATATGAAGAAACATATAGTAAATTACCTTCTATTGAAATTATTGAACGCTAATCTATCTACTTCTATAATTTATAAGCAATTTATTGTTTAAGTGTTTAATACAAAACCTTCCTTTATAGATCCTAATCCTCATATGTAACATGAAGTAGACTAAGTTCAACATAGACAGTGAACTGTTCAGAAAAAATCTGTTCCATTTTATTTCACCATTCCAAAAACTGCTGTATTTGCTCAGAAATACCAAAGTATAGTTATTTTGATATGACTATATGCAGTGAGAATCACGAGAGTATTTCTTATCAGTGCAAAATAGATTGGATACTCAACACTAAATTCATGTATGAAATTATATTGAAGCATTTGCTTGATTTAAATCTAAATTTTCATAACACAATATTTTATGAATGACTGATGCGACAATACTAAAACTGAAAGGAATGACAGAGGAACTGTATTGTAGGAATATATAAAAGAGCATTTTCTGCCCATGCTATTGTGCTATACAGTATGTATAGTGGAGTGTTCTGTTTTGCTGGAAGTCTTTGTTGTTCCAATTCATTAAATAGAACAACTGTCATTTTGTGGGAGCCACAAGACTTTTCCATGCTGTTTTTGTAAAAATACTGCAAAAACACCAACTTTTCTCCTGATAGCTGATTCAGTCACTGTTGATTCAGCTGCTAAGTTTGTTCATGCATTTGACTAAGAATGTAATTACATGTCTCACACTTTTAGTAAACAGTATTTCAATTTTATAAATATCAGAATGCACATATATATATCTATATATATAGATATAGATATATATCTATATCTATATATATATATATATAGATAGATAGATAGATAGATAGATATAGATAGATAGATAGATAGATAGATAGATAGATAGATAGATAGATAGATAGATAGATAGATAGATAGATAGATAGATAGATAGATAGATAGATAGATAGATAGATAGATAGATAGATAGATAGATAGATAGATAGATAGATAGATAGATAGATAGATAGATAGATAGATAGATAGATAGATAGATAGATAGATAGATAGATGTGCATTCTGATATTTATAAAATTGAAATACTGTTTACTAAAAGTGTGAGGACCCAAGTTCAGAGGATAAGAACCACCCGTGGTGGGTGAGTAGGGAAATTTATATATATATATATATATATATATATATATATATAGATAGATAGATAGATAGATAGATAGATAGATAGATAGATAGATAGATAGATAGATAGATAGATAGATAGATAGATATAGATAGATAGATAGATAGATAGATAGATAGATAGATAGATAGATAGATAGATAGATAGATAGATAGATAGATAGATAGATAGATAGATAGATAGATAGATAGATAGATAGATAGATGTGCATTCTGATATTTATAAAATTGAAATACTGTTTACTAAAAGTGTGAGGACCCAAGTTCAGAGGATAAGAACCACCCGTGGTGGGTGAGTAGGGAAATTTATATATATATATATATATATATATATATATATATATATATATTATATATATATATATATATATATATATATAGATATAGATATATTTATATAGATATAGATATAGTATCTTGGCTGTGCCAAGGACTGCACATTTCTGGACTGAGATGTCTGATGTTGTTCCTGGGATCTGTTGTAGCCACTGCTCCAGTTTGGGGGTTACTGCCCCGAGGGCCCTGATGACCACAGGCACCACTGTGGTCTTCACCTTCCAGGCCCTCTCCAGTTCTTCCCTGAGGCCCTGGTATTTCTCCAGTTTCTCGTGCTCCTTTTTCCTGATGTTGCAATCACTTGGTATTGCTACACTACCACAACGGCTTTCCTCTGATGTTTATCCACTACGACAATGTCTGGTTGGTTCACCAATATATATATATATATATATATATATATATATATATATATATATAGATAGATAGATATAGATAGATAGATAGATAGATAGATAGATAGATATATAGATAGATAGATAGATAGATAGATAGATAGATAGATAGATAGATAGATAGATAGATAGATAGATAGATAGATAGATAGATAGATAGATAGATATATATATAGATATAGATATATTTATATAGATATAGATATATATAAAGAGAGAGAGAGGGAGAGATACATATCACATTTTAGTGAGGTTTTTTTTTTAATGTTCAACACATTTTACTGCTGATAAAAAAAAAAGCATTAATTATTTCAGTGTATTCAGACAAACTAGGTTATAAAATGTAACCAGACACTTCGAAGAGGCTCTGGTTATGGGGAATTGTTGGATTCACAAAGCTGATTAGCTATAAGTCATAACCTTGATTAGCATTTCCACAGCAATGCAGTGATGTCAAAGACTAGAAAGTGTTGTAGGATATAGAGAAGTATGAACAGACTGAAATATATAACCCAAAAACAATATAAAGATATCTACGAACCACTGGGAAAAATTAAATAAAAAAATTATGCACTTGTAGACACTCACAGTGCACAAAAAAAGTACTTAAGCTAAAAATTTAGATCTTGTATGCTGTGTCTCCTTTAATGGAAATAACCCTTGATGAACTTGCACTGGAACAGGTTTACATTGCTCAGGACATAAACATAGTTTTCTGCACATATTTTGATATTTTATGATGAAATACTCACTTCTAATTATGTTTTTAAATGTGCTACAATACACAGAGGCAAGATGCTTGGTAATTGCAGGACTTTTCAGGAATGATCGTTCTATCTTGGAAGGTGCTCAAAGAGACCCAGCTTCGCCAGGCAAATAGGCTTCTTGCTGTTACTGGCACTTTCTGTTTCTTGATAAGTCTGGCAACGGGTCCAGGATGACGCCGCCTCTCACCCACTGACCGCTGGAGATATGCACTAGTACCCCTTGCCACCCACTCGGGATAACCGTGTGAGAAAATTAATGAATGGATGTTTCTTGATAAATTGCTGGATGTGTTTTATTGGCTAACACTAGTTAGTGCTGAGAGTTATTCTGGGTTAATAGTTGCAAAACAGTGCTGTTTAGTACTTTCTGGTTAGAGGAAGTGGCTTCTAAGTTTTGCTACAAAACCACTTTTTCATCTGTTTCTTCTAAGCATCTTCATGGCTTAAGTAGTTCAAGTTTCTATAACTAAAACCTTTTTGTAATAAATTACTGCATATAGTCAACACGTGCATTCAAATTCTGGTGAATATTGTTCATGATTGTTAGCTGTGTTTGGAAGAAATAAAGCTAATTTTGCATAGTCAGTTGAAATAAATAGTTTTTTTTAAGTTGTGATTTTTTTAGCTACAGTTCTCTCACCCGTCAGACAGATATGTCATACTGCCAAGAATTTATAGAATAGTGAAAACCTAAATGCTAATCAGATTGACCAAACATTTTACTTTATTGGTGGTGAAACAATTTCTATATTTGTTCAAATCCAGGGGATACCAGTATATTAATGAACCCTCATGTATGCTGTCATGATAGTTTGAGCCTGCCAGCTCCATCAAATTACCTCATTTTTCTAAGTCCATAAAAAGCACCTAGGAAGTACAAAAAATATATTGTAACTTTCTGATATTTAGATAAAGCAGAAATGTTTCAAATGATCGTAGCACAACAACAATTATTGGGCTCATCAAATGTTTACATATTTCATCAATTCATTTTATTTTAGAATATTTCTAAAAAATATATCTGTTTGTCTATAAGCAGTAGACAAACAGAAACTGAATGTGTGGCAGTGAATTACGTCATTTTTATTTGCTCATGTGACAATAGAAGTCTAACAAATATCAGTGATCCTCCTCATGCTCATGAACCTCATCCCACTCATGCCCATGTTCATGAAGCTCCTGTACTCTCCAGGTCTGAGGTACATCATCCTGCCTCTGTAGTGGGGGTGCTCGTACATCAGCCAGTGACCATCCATCACATGGCAGGACATGCAGTCAGACATGCGGTAGCGATCCATGATGGAGTCACAGTCGTCCATCATCTCATACATCTGACCACCGAAATTCTCCCTCTCATAGATCCTCATCCTGAATGATCCTCTGTGCTGCAATAAAAGTGTAATAATGGTGTGTCAGTAAGCACCTTTAAACGTTAAATGAATCAAATTAGAGCTTATTCCAGTGTGCTTACATGAGGGATCATTCTGCAGGATCTGATGGAGTCGAACATCATACCCATGCTCATCATACGCTGCATGTCATGGTATTCTCCTCTCCTCAGGAAAAACTGCATGCCCATGTAGTTGGGACGCTCATAGATCATGAAGCAGCCGCTCTCCACCCTGCAAGACTGGCACCTGCCCAGGTAGGAGGAAATGTCAGAGCAGTCGCTGAGGCACTCATAGGAGCGACCCTGGAAGTTCCTCTCCTCGTAGAAGATGATCTGAAACAATGCAAGAGAAAGCTCAAAATCACAAATTAAGTTTGTGGAGAGAAAAATCAATGATTTTTTGCTTTAATAATCTGTAATATATCTATATGGATATTTTTACCTTGCCCATGATTGAGTCTTAGATTGTTCCCAAGGGAGTGTTTCAATTTGATCCGCAACCTCAATGATTTCAGGCCCTTTTTATACAAAATCCAAGGGGCCATGATGTGTTGTTATTCAAATGTGCAAAGCTGATGAATTAGCAGTATGACTTTTGCTGAACAGGGGCTATAAAAGTGTGACAATAGTTCCCCATCCATACATTTCTGTCAGCAGTCATCTGCATTGTTCATTTTAAGCAGAAGCTTTGTGTGTATGACATGCGCAGTGAGAAGGTTCTCCACATACAGTAAAGTCAGATCATCAGTGTTAGAAAAAAACCTACACATAAGATGACATCTCAGACAAAGCTATGAAAGACTGAAGATCTTAAAGAACAACAGATATATGTTTGCATCTCCATAATGCTAAAATACGGTTTTTAAATGTTTAACTATCTATCTACAAGAGATTTAAAGTAAATCCCAGGTCCCTGCATTGTACATTAAACACCCCATATAAGTTATTAATTTGGACAAATGACTCTCTCCTTCTCTCTCTTCGAACTATATTTATGTTTAAAGAAGTTCTTTTTCAATAAATGCATAAATCTTAGAAAAAACTAGCGAAATAATCATGCAACAATCTAAAATGCCAAAACTTAAAATGATCCAAACAAGAATTTCCCAGAGAATTTCCTTATGTCAGAGTATTGTAAATACTTATTTAGTGTATCTGAGTTGAATAGAATCACACTAGAATATCAGCATTTTCTTTTCTTGTTTGTTTGCAAAACTGAATTTCTAAAAATGTAAACTTTATCTAGGATAATCAAGGAATGCAATCTTCAGATTCAGATTTCTCTTCAGAGATAAGCTTTCATTTGGAAAGCAGGTATGCACATCGGTTCCATCATGGAACCGCTGTGCATACTTGCAAAGCGTGATGGAACCGCTGTAGTGGGGGTGCTCGTACATCAGCCCGTACATCAGCCAGTGACCATCCATCACATGGCAGGACATGCAGTCAGACATGCGGTAGCGATCCATGATGGAGTCACAGTATTTTTATAATGTATGCACATCATGAAAATAAACATCTCTTTCAGCATTTCCTGCCATTCACCGGTCAACTGCCTGCGCTAGCTCCATAAGAGAAATATGAAACTAAAAGATTTTAAATCAAGTTTGTTGAACTAACACTCAAAGGAAATCACTAATAATAATTAGGTATTTTAGTTCTGAATGTATTGAATGCTTTGATATCTATTCTTAAAATAATCTTTTATTAGTTCAGTAATGCCTTTAATGAGGTACTTATGATATTAACATTAGTAAAAATATGCAAATTATGGAGAATGTACAGTTGTGCCTGTGAGTGCACAGTTCAGATGGTACAATACGTATTTTATTAGTATCGTACTTTATTAGTAAATTAACTTAAGAATTTCACCATTGCTGGTGTTACAGTTGATGAGTAATTGGAACATTACATGTACATGTACAAGACAATCAAAGTAACTGATATCATTTACAATTATACATCAATAAAAACTCCTTCACATTGTTGGTTAAAAATTCAGTACCTTTAATAAACAAAGTGTTTGATATTTACAGCAAGGCTTTTGTTGATGGCTAAAATTCAGTGACCCTCCTGAAGGATCCGACGATGGCACAGGTGGCACACCAGTCTCGGTATCTCCTATATTCCCCAGGTTTCAGGAAGTACTGTCTACCTCGGTAGTTAGGGTACTCATAGAAGATCCAGTAGCCATTCATAACATTGCACGAGTAGACATGGCGGTGATGAAAACGGTCAGACACACAAGGACAGTCGTCCATGAACTCCATCATGTGACCGGTGAAGTCGGGCTTCTCATACAGGCGCATTCGGTAAGAGCCTCGATACTGTGTGGCATCGGAAGACAACAAATGGCCAGAAGGTTAACACGAAACAGATCTAGCAAAGATCTGCCTAAACGTCATCAAAAGAGGTCTCTAAGAATCTCCACATTCAGGATGTGGAGATGTGAAATTTATGTGTTAGGTTGGTGTCCTACCGCTGGAATCATCCGGCATGAGCGAATGCTGCTACTGAAGCCCATCCATCTCTGATAGTCAGGGTACTCTCCCCTCCTCATGTAGTACTGGTGGCCCATGAAGTTGGGTCGCTCATAAATCATGAAGCAGCCGCTCTCCACTCGAATGGAGTTACAGCGGCTGAAGTGCAAGTGAAGGTCTGTGCAGTCATTGCTGCACTCATAGCTCCGACCCTGGAAGTTCTTGTCCTCGTAAAAAATAATCTGGAGTAGGAAGACATTGAATCATCATCGGAGTCAATCTTTGCTGTGTTACAGTGTTAAAATCAAAACTGTAAAACATGCTTTGCTTTTAATTTATAGTCATTATAAGCAAAGTAGATAAACAGCACTCACCTTGCCCATGGTCTCCGTTGGAGAGATTCCCCATGTTTTCAGGGCTTTTTATACCACCTCTTGACAAACAAAGTATTGTCATTCAAATTCTCTCAGCATTATAACTAAAGGCTACTGGCACATGTTTAGCTTTTTGTTGGAGCAAAAACATTGGGTCAGAAATATGGATTTGTATTTGAAAAAAGGATAAATAATTAACTGGTTTGGTGTTTTGACTTGCATGGACAAAGGAAAGGACTAGTATGGTATCCACACTTCCAGTGAACAATGGCTACAGAACAATATGGAACAGCTCTTTTACATTAAATATGTTGTCTAACCAAGCAGGAAGCCATTCACTCTATATGCTTCTTTACCTGAGCAACCCCACTGTGGGGAAAGAAATGCTGGTTGGTACTCTTGATGAAAAGACATCATTTGAACTTGTATGTGCCTATAAATTCTGTCCGTGTGCGGATGTATGATACACTCTGACCTTGATTTTAGATCCTGTGAAGCTCTTCTTTACAGAATTCACTTTAATTAGTTCTATTCTAATTTCAACACAAGTCACTGACACTACTTGTACAGACAAGAAATGGTCTCCAAGATTTAACGGGGCCCTGTTAAATCTTGATGTCAAAAGAAAATGGAAGAATCAAATGTATGACAATGTTTTAAATGGCTTGTCCTTAGGTTTGTCACTGAACCCTAACTTACCTCTAATAAGTTAGGGTTCAGATGTTTAAAAAGAAAGCAATTGCTTTGTATGTATATATGCCTTTATATATTTGATAGTGATCGCTTTATGATTAGTATGATTTTCATTGTTTTATGCCATTGTTTTATATTAAATATATTTGGTTAAAGTGTAAAGCCTGTTCTTTAAGTACACCAGGGTAATGATGGTAATAGCACATTTCAGTGTGAAAAAATTTGTCATGTTATGAGATAAAATATGAATGTTTTCCATGTGATTCCTCCTCTTTAAATTTACATCATACTCTGTATTTTGGTTCATTCAGAATCTGGACCCATCCTATCCAGTTTCTCTCCATACCATTAACGGCACCAGTGATCAGGATCATGTCTAAAACCACAGACATAATTTAATCCCACCAGACTGGGAGAGGGCAGCATAGGCATTGTCTGGTATGGTATCCAAATGCAAAATGAAGATTAAACTATGCCAGAAGCTATTGTAGATACTATGTTGAGACTATGGCTTCTAGACAGTGATCATTTATTGTTTTTGTAATCTCTACTTTTTTCTATTTGGGAGTCTCTTTCTTGAGACAATACAGTGACGTTTTGGGTAACAACAAATGAGAAGATACAAAACATAAACAGGACAAGTTAAAGGACTTATTCAACAATTAAAGTTTATTGACTTCAGTTAAATCTGTTATTCTCCTAATTAAGCCAACCTTTGGATTGATGTCTCCCCCATCGCCTCATCTGTGGTTCTCTCCAGGTTTCAGCAAACTCTGCCTTTATAGTTTGACTGATCATACAGCAGCCAGTGGTCATCCATAACATGGCAGACGCTGAATTCAGACATGCTGAGCTTCTGCTGGACATTTGAACTGTTAGCCACCAGCTCATGCATTTGGTCAAACATAGCAAACAGCTTGTAAATTCTCAGCTTGCAGGAGCCATGATGCTGACATGTAGAAAGACTCACTGCCTCATTCATTGAAACCACTCCCTCAATGTAATACTTCAGCTTTAAACATCTCTGAACAAATTCTTCATTTTGTCTCATTTATGACCTACCTGAGGCATCAAAAGCCAAACTCTGATACAGTCACTAATCCCAACCACTTTGATTGTCAGAGTAGTCTCCTCCCATATGGTAGTACTGGTTGCCCATTGACCATTAAGCAGCCATGATGGAGTGCACCTTTTGAAGAACATGAATACATCGCTGAGGTATTCATGACGGTGGCCTCGGAAAATATGATCTATGAAAGCAAACACAAATAATGTTTCACTCAAGTAAGAAATACATAGGTGAAGATTTAAAAAAAAAACTCAATGCTTGGTTTCCATTACCTTTTCCATGGTCTTTACAACAGGGTATACTACCCTGCTGTCTAACAGGGTATACTACCCTGCTGTCTCTAAGTCAAACCATGGTGCTTTATAAAAAAAATGGGAAGCTGTGTGATTGCACAACATTAACCATTGTCATGCAAATATTTCCCACAGAGTGATGATGGATCTGGGATGGGGTTCTCCATCCATGCATCCCATATTGTACTTTGTCTTTTGTTCATCACTATTTTTACTGAACATAACAATGTACAACAGAAAGTGTTTGCAGGAGCATCAGAAAGAAGAAACTGACATTCAGTCGGGCTGAGGTAATGTTCTGTATCATCTACCTGCTGATGTGGGCCATCATAATCTTGATAGAAAAGCTTACTCAGATCAAGTCCACCCCATGAAATCATTAAAAACAGAGGAGAAAACGTCTGAACTTCCTGAAGCCTCGGTCACAAAATGTTAGGTGTTGCAATAAAACATGTGCCTCACGTGGGCCTAGATGAAAATTGTAAACAATCATATGTGTCAGTTTTGCAATTTTTTCAGTTTTGTTCTTTCAGGACTGGGTGGTCACAGACTAATTTTATTTTTTTTTTCTTTCACAATTAACATTCTGGAATCAATGATTTCGCCTTATACAGTCTATTTTTGCCCCTAAGTAGTTAAATAACAGTTATCTTTATTAATTTGATCAGTGCAGATAGAACACATGCGCAATTTGACATGAGATTAATGTTAGAACTGGCTCTTTGCTGAGCCTCTGCATAATTTTAATTCAGTGAGGTATATTTATTGTTGATTGTACTTGGCAGCCTGGCTTAGGTAGAACTGAAACTGTTTGTAGTACAGCATCTGATATTGGTGATGGTGGTGTGTCATTGTTCTATCGCTGTGTCTTACAACACTATTAAAAAACAAGGCCGATATCAACATTATGATAGGACTATTAGTAAAAAAGAAACTGATGAGATGTTTAATAACTGTGTTTTTCTTTAGTATTCCCTCTTCATTGTGGTGGTGGTGGCTACAACCTAAGGGACATTGGAGACTCCTTTTTGTAACTGCTTCGTTAGAAGTGAGATAATGTATGATGATAGGTGAACATATTTATTATTTGTTTGTTGCTTTTGTTGAAGTTTTTCTCAATTCAAAGAGACAATGTTCTGCATTATACTAGTAAAGTTTTTTTCTGGAAATTAAGGCTAAAATGAATATAAATATGACAAAAAACAGTCTTCTGTGCTACCTATATTCCCCTGCAGTAGGTCAATAGTCCATAATGCGTCTGATGGAGCCAACTCTGGCGCTCCTGCCGCCCCACTCACTGAACCTTTTATACTCTCCAGGTCGAATCAGATACATCTTGCCTCGATAGTGAGGGTGCTCATAGAAGAGCCAGTTCCCCTTTCGAACATTGCAAGAGAAGATATTGTGAATGTTGAAGCGGTCCACTACACTGGGACAGTCGTCCACCAGGTCCATCATCTGGCCACCAAATTCAATCCTCTCATACAAGCACATATTGAATGAACCAGGCTCCTAGGGTGGAAAGGGAGTGAAATTATATATTACATAATGTCATCATAATCAAACAGCAAGTAACCAAATGTTGCTTTAAAGATGGCAGCACGTTGTAGTAGCTCTGTTGCTTTGGGACAGAGCAGACTGTACTTCTTGAGGAAGCTGAGAGCCTTCAAGATTTGGAACAAGATGCTACGTAAATGAAGACCGTAATATAGTCTGTCATCGTCTTTTGCTGTCGCAGCATCAAAAGCTGGGACTAAAAAGGCTAAGGAAGATAACAATCAAAACAAAACATAAAATCAAAGACTCCTTCTGCTCTGTGAACATCTGAATATTATTATTATTATTATTATTATTATTATTATTATTGTTATTATTGTAATGGGAAGCTGAATTATTTATAACATCAAGAAAATTACAGAGAATCCTGAACATCTTCTTCATGAGACAGTGAAGAAGATGAGTATTTTCAGTCAGAGGCTTCTTTGGATTGTTGTAATACAGACTGCTAGAGGAGATCCATCCTGACAATAGTCATCAGCATCTGCATCAACTCTGAAGAAAACTGGACAATATGATTCACGTCAAATTTCTTTGTACAGCAGAATTCAGGCAGTTCAAAGTGCCATAAAAACATCATACAGTAATCAATTGTGAAACAAGCAATAAACCTTACATTTTGTCAAATGCCATCAGCAAAATGATCAAAATGATCTTCCCACATCAAATATATTGATCAATGTTCCAGTTAGGGTATTATAAATCAATTGCAACTCCAATCAAACGGGTTTTTAGTCTTGATTTAGAGGAATTCCTGGTTTGTAATTTTCTGGAAGTTGGTTCCAGATTGTTTAGAAGCTGAATGCTGCTTCTCCATGTTCGGTTCTGGTTTTGGGGCTGAAGAGTGGACCAGAATCAGACAACCTGAGAGGTCTGGAAGATTGATACAACAACAGCAGATCTTCTATTTAAAGGGTGGCTCTTTCCAGGAAGTCTTTTGATCGAAACAGTTCAGTGATTTCTAACTGAAACATATTGCAAAGCCTATTCTCTGAGCTCCAGTGAGTCAGTGGAAAGACTTTAAAACTAGGTCATCTAATCAACTTCAATATGAAATTCAACTAAAAGTAATCGCTTGAGGCTGCCTGGTGAAGTATTTGTTAGCAGTGCTACCTCCCAGCAAAAAGTTCTTGAAATTTAAATCTCAGGCTCATCATTTTTAAATAAATGTTTTCAAACATTTAAGGACTATATTTTTAGAATAATCTGTTCAAGGTGAACTTAAAGGTCAACAGACCTATTTACAGCTTCTAAAGTTTTGATTATGTTTTTTTTCTACTGTTCACATTGTAATAAAAAGTCACTTTCTATCCCACCTAGTTTTTGTTTAGTGAAACTAAATACTAGTTACTAAATCAGGAAGTTAGTTTCCCACAGTGACACATATATCAACTGTGAGTGCATCATTTTAGCTGCTGGACAATGCAGTATGTTATGTTGACTTTCCCCTCAAACAGCAGCTCACCGTGTGGATGTGGCGACAAGAACCGACAGAGTCGCTGACACCCATCCAGTGGTGGAAGTCAGGATACTCTCCTTTGCTCAGGTAGTACTGGTTCCCAGTGTAGTTGGCTTTTTCGTAAATCATGAAGCAGCCGCTCTCCACCCTGATGGAGCTGCACCGGCTCAGACTCCTTAGCAGATCTGCACAGTCTTTGGAACACTCAAAATGGTGCCCAGCGAACTCCCTGTTCTCATAGAAGACAATCTGCACGTGGAGAAAACAGGATGACTCACACTATCACGCAAAAAAAGAGAGAAAAACTTCAAACAAGTAAAATGAAGGTAAAATTGAAGTTCTTTACCTTCCCCATGCTGTTTGCCTCACCTGCCCTGCCTGCACCAAGCCTCATGTGATCTAGGCCAGCATTTGAGGACGACCGTCTGAATGTAAAATGCAGAGTCTGCATGTGGCATTCATTTTGTTCCAGCCAAGAATCACAAGTTTTTGTCTATCCCTGTTGTACTAATCATATGTTTTGGAATACGCTAAAATAATATGTAAATGTATGAAATATGTGTTATATAAATTTGTGCCTGCAACCAAGTCACTTTGTAACATGTGTTGGGTTATTGAGCTCATGCTTTAAACTTTTATCACCAGATAATCATAAAGTGCTGCATATGCACAATATTTGGCCCTTCATGTTTATTCTGATTTCCTTTTTAGTTACCCTTCTGAATTTCAGAACATCAACCAAACTGGCTCTTTGCTAGAGCCAGTTTGGCTCTCACAAAGTACAAACAAATGCACCAACCTTTTTTGTCCTCCTGGATACATGAAGGCCACAAACAGATGAACAGACATTCTTTTTCCAAGAGAGCAGAAATCATAATTTAATAACTGCTTGGACTTACATTGGAGCATAGAATATTGCTTTCTGAGATCTTTTTGCACACTTCATGTTGTCAGACAGGTTCGATTTAAGTGATCTCTTGTTTCCACAAGTCAGACAGCATAATTATTTGTAAAAGTAAATGTAATTTTCAACAGGAACATGTTTCAAACAAATAGAAATTAAGACAGGCACTAAGCAATGCAGTGTACATAAATTGTACAGTGCATCTGGAAAGTATTCACAGCGCTTCACTTTTTCTGCATTTTTGTTACGTTACTGCCTAATTCAATATTGTATTAAATTATTCTTTGCACATATGTACAGTCTTTGGTCTTCATGATGGTCAACAAATTTTCTCTATTGTACATCTGAGAATTTTGAAGAATAGCTGGAATCTTACTTAGTTAAATTGCAGACAGAAGACTTTTTCTCATATTAGTAGCCAAATTAACTTTTCCAGAAATATTACATGTAGAACTGATGGCAAAGAGTTGGCACTATCAGAGTAACTTTGAGTGTAACTCATTCTACAAATTAGTCAGGATCACGCTATAAAATCAGGTAAAGAAACTCTCCTAATTATATATTTTCATCATGAAGTGGAATTAAGAACAAGAAAAAGCCTTCATCTTGATTTGGATTTTTCAGTCATCCACCTGTCTCAGTAAAAGGAGTCTGGCATAAAGTTTTCTGCTGAAGACACCGAATTTCTACAATAGGTAATGCTTTAGAACATGATATGAGTCAATCCTGGGAGTATTTTATTTAGTGCTCTGGTCACAGTCAGAATATCCAAGCATGTTACATCTTCCTGGAAGAAGTCGCCCTTCAAATGAAAAGAGCAAGAGCAAAATTGAATCCACTTGAGCACTGACGCCATTTTCATCAACATGTTAAATATGGCAAAGAGTTGGCATTTTATGAGAACCCTGTCTTAGAGATCCATCAGACGTCTGATGGAGCCAATCCTGGAGTTTGCGCCTTTCCATTCACTAAAGCTCTTGTACTGGCCGGGGCTCAAGTAGTAGTGGCGCCCCCTGTAGTTGGGTTGCTCATACACCAGCCAGTGGCCGTCCAGGATGTTGCAGGAGTTGAAGTTGGCAAGGTGAAAGCGACCCATGAGGTTTGGGCAGTCATCCGTTAGCTCCATCATTTCACCATCCATGTCGAAGTGCTCGTACAGCTGCATCCTAAAGCTGCCTCTGTGCTGGGGAAGCATGTTGGATGGAACCAATAAGAACACATTCATACTCACATTAAGCCTGGAAAAAATCGACATTTCTGAAGGTGAGAGGTCTTCACTGTTTCTGAGAGACCATTAAAGCTCTTAATAGAACTAATATTGTATTCCATTTGAACCCAAAAGGTGGATATTTTCCAGATCATTGTGCGTCATTTGCTTCGAATAGTAAACTCATCTGGGTGAAACCTGTAGCAATGAACTCTGACCTGAACCTTCAGAGACACATAAAGATAGTTATGTGTCTCTGAAGGTTTGGAATGCTGCTGCTGTTTTTCCTAAAAATAGGAAAAGTAAAGTCCTTACTCAGGCTTTAAAATACTGCCGTTAGTTTATAAATCACTGAACTATTTAGCACCACAATATATTAAAGACTGGAGGCAGACAGCTCAGGTGTTCTCGTTCTGTTCTGCTCTGCATCCCCACAACCAGAACCAAACAATATTCAGTTTCTATGTCCCATTAAACTGAAACAAACTCCCAGAAAATTGTAAAAAAATAAAATAAGTAAAAAGACAAAACAAAACACACAACAAAAAAAACCCCGCTGAAACACTGAGTTTCTTGATGGTAAGATTTGACAAATTATAATGTTTACTATTTGTTTCATAATTAAGTTTATATAGTGAGATACCTTATTGCTGAAATGTGTGATACAAATAAACTTTATTTGACTAAAGGTTGCGTCATATAAAATTATCTGGTACCTCCATAAAGATACGGATTCTGAAACACATTCAAATTAACTTGAAAACATCAGTTAAAATATATCATTATAATTATGATTCATCTTGGTTTTGGTAGATATCAGGCCTGCTCTGGGTGCAGATTGTAGGACAGATGTCGGGTAAAAGAGTCATACAGATCATTGTCCAGATTCAGTCTCCTAAAGTTACTTTGGCTTCAACAGTTATGGAAGCCGCTGCTCCTGCTTCTGAAGGGAGATAAGACTTCATCTAGAAAACAAATTTCTTTCTAGAAAAACAAAACTAGTTTTGTTCCATATTTTTAAAACAAAGTGACAATTTTTACCCCCATACTTACTTTCTTGCTGTCTAACTAAATATGCCAAAAGTTCTTAAGAATTACTGAGAAAATTGGATTTCTGGTAAAATTCTTATATTTGTTAAACGGGAGTAAAACAGCCCGGTTGCTTTGATTGGCTGGTACGGGCACCACTCTGCATCATCTCAATTGGAGTTGAAAAAGGAAATATTTTTCACAGCAGAAAATAAGTAATCATTATAACCTGATCTCAAAGCCAGCCTGTGGTGTATAAATCTACACCTTGCTGGTTTAAAAGACAGCTTACCAAGGGGATCATGAGGCACGACCGGACACAGTCATTCATGCCAGTCATGCCCATGAAGTCGGAATACTCTCCCGTTCTCATGAAGTACTGGTTCCCCATGAAACCGGGTCGGTCGTAAATCATGAACATGCCGCTCTCCACACGTATGGAGCGGCAGTGGTCAAACATTGAGTGCAGGTCAGCACAGTCGCTCATGCACTTATAGTGATGGCCTCCAAAGTTTCTGTCCTCATAGAAGATGATCTGATGGAGCAGAAGAAGTCATCCTGTCAGCATAATCACAACATGTCATCGAAAAAGTGGGTCTTCAAACTGAACACAGACCTTTCCCATGATGGCTACTGTCAAAACCCAAAAAAATATCTTTTTATACCAGGAAGTGTCCAACTTTATATCCATGGGGAAGGATGTTCAGCTGCATGTTGTGATTCAAAGCAGGTCTGATGTCAGCAGACCACAGGAGTCTTTTCGCTCCTGTATTCAGCAGAAAGCAGGTTCTAGCAACAGCCACAGCATGGACATGCACTGGAACAGTCACTGCAGCTTGTTTACACAGCCTATGTTTGCTTTGAATACATTGTCTCCATCACAAGTTAAAAAAGAACTGTGGAAGGCCCTCTCCAGTTCCTCCCTGAGGCCCTGGTATTTCTCCAGTTTCTCGTGCTCCTTTTTCCTGATGTTGCAATCACTTGGTATTGCTACATCTACCACAACGGCTTTCCTCTGTTGTTTATCCACTATGACAATGTCTGGTTGGTTCACCCTTACCATTTTGTCTGTCTGGATTTGAAAGTCCCACAGGATCTTAGCTCTGGCGTTCTCCACCATAACAGAGACTAATGAGCTGATCTACAACTCAGCATCAGGGATCCTTGAGATCCTTGAGATGCTTGGCTATAAAAGCAACCATGAGACCCAATAATATATATATATATATATATATATATATATATATATATATATATATATATATATATATATATATATATATATATATATATATATATATATATATATATATATATATATATATATATATATATATATATATAAGGATTTATCTCCACAAGCCTCTTCTTATGGTATGAAGAAATCTCAGAATTACAGCAAATCAAACAAGTTTAGGGAAACAGAACTATGTTGTGTTGTGATCAAAATAAATGCTGGAAATGCACAAAATTCCTCTTTGTCACAGATGTAGTAAATCAGATAATTTTGAGACATGTATTCACCATAGACAAGAAAATCATTTACAGCAGCTCATTTTATTATTTTTTTTCTAACAGCATCCAGCACCTTCGTCAGGTCAGCTCTTAGCACATTCTGTTGTTCATATTAGTAACTCAAAGGATTAAAACTCTGTGATCCTGCGGAAAGAGCCAGTGGTGGCGCAGGTGGCCCCCCAGTCATTGAACTTGCGGTACTCGCCAGGACTCATGAAGTACTGCCGGCCACGGAAGCTTGGGTGTTCGTAGAGGGTCCAGTAGCCATCCAAGACTTTGCAGGAGTAGATGTCTCGGCTGCGGAAGTGCTCCTGCACGGACTCGCAGTCCTCGCTGAACTCCATCATCTGACCTTGGAAGTTGGGCCGCTCATAGATACGGATGCGGTAGGGGCCCTCACTGGTCTGCAGGTGGAAGATAGAAAATGAAAGGAGCCTTTTGGGTCTGTGGCTAACAGCCTGACAGTCAATCATCATGCTTAGTCATCAGCCAATGTTTATCCATTAATTACCTCTCCAGGTAAATCCACATTGGTTTAAAATGTTGGAAGAATAAACAATATTGTTTTTGCTTTCTAAATTGAATATGTGAAAACAGGCCAAAATACCTATTTTGACTCCTAACAGCATAAAAACAGTCATCAGGTTGAGCTCTCAAAGTAACCTCACATAGGAGAAGGTACGGCAGGAGCAGATGGTGTCATTGTAGCCCATCCAGCGCTGCTTGT